ATACCACATAATTTATTATTAAACTCGACATGAGTATGTTCTGTGTATAGATAAATCATTTTGATTATTTTTTTTCGAATTGGTCCATTATTGGTCATAGTTCCCATATAATTTATCGGCAGGATCGGAACATAATAGGTCGAAGAATAATCGGTCGATATCTGAAAATCACTTAATACAAATGTTTCTATGCCTAATCAAAATTAGTTACATACATACATGCATAAATAAGTTACAAAATGATAAATAGTATCTTAATTACGGAAACAAAACATGTGCCGGGTTTTACAGTTCTCCATAAGGAAAATAAAGTACTTTAGTATATACTTTGATACTTAAGTAAAATTTATTTCTTTAGTATAAACTATAAATTCGGCCCTATAACTTTAACCATTTATAACATATTTATTTTGGGTTTTAATAAAAAGTAGTTTGCAGGTGGAGGGTATTTAAGATTCGGCAGTGCCGAATATAGTATTCTAACTTGTTGTTCAAATAAAATTTAACGCTTGTATTTATAAAAAAATCTTATTTTGCTTTTAATGCACTCAATAGTTAAAGCACACTTTAGCCTTAAAAACCATTAATAAAATTGTGATATTCATAAACAAATAATAAACGTATATTAACTATTGTGCTGATTTATGTTTAAGTTGGCAGCACTGTACAATATGGCTGTCATTTTATGTGTTAGTGTTGCGTACAATTAGGATAAAATATTCGTTGATTCGGTTATCTTAATTTCATATTTTTGTTTATAATAGATTTTTGACAATAAAAACAAACTTTTAAGAAAAATAAATATATATATGGCTTTAATAAATGTCTATTTAGTTCAGATGTATAAATATAACATATAATTTATAATTATTATTAAAAGTATCCGAATAACGGATATTTTGCGACAAAATATACATCACTATGACACATTTTCTTATTTTTACTTATTTTCCTTGTGATTTTTGATAAATTTTTGCAAATATTGATAAATTTCTTTGATATTTGACTAATTTTAATGCCGGCGAATATATTTTGCATTAGTATAACACTAATCAATATAATTTACATGGTTAATTACTTTATGGCATTATATTTAACCAACAAACTTTGAAAAAGCCAAATCAAATGATTTTGTCCATCATTTGGTTGACAGACGGGCATTTCCAAATTGCCTAAAAATAGTGCTGGACAATTGGAATATTGTCAAATATTCATGCATTAATCCAATAATGCCTAGATTTGAGTTTTTTCCTCAAAATATAATCGTTTAAAAATTTTCTGGGATTTTATTTACAAATTTGTAAACGTTAAAATTAGAATTTTTAGATTTTATTTTAAAAGAAACCATAATTAGTTTTCGCAATCAACCTAAAATTACCGGAAAAATCTTTATCTGAGAAAAAAATTGTTAAAAATCAACTTATTGTTGGCTTAAAGAAGGGTCGAGCCTACAATAAAATTCTTCTAATTGTCAATGGTTTATTGAAGGTGTTTTAAGCTATTTCACGTTTATAAATACGATTTTCCTGAATTTTGCCTAAAATTGTTTAATAAACCTAAAATAAGTTTTTATAAATACAGCCGTAAAATTTTATTTTCTTTTTAAATTTATTTTATTTAACACCAAAAAGTATACTTTAAAAACGATACATTACAAATACAAACGTAATATGTAGTGGGAAATCAGTTCAAAATATGAATTATTCCTGACTTGAAGCACCTCTATTACATACATATGTGGAATATGTTGTACTGTTTGTTATATACAAAATTTCAGCAGTATTTACATAAATACATACCTTCATAGGAAATGCATTTGCAAATCCTCGGATTGATATTGAAATTGCGGAATATTTCCATAAGAAAACAAGTAGGAAAATATAGTCGGGCATGGCAGACCATATAATACCCTACACCATGAGTATATTTAAAAAATTTTTATTTTTCACAAAGAAACTTTTATGTTGAATTTTACCTTAATTCCAAAGTATTTAAGCAATTTATTGATAAAAAACTAATTTTCTAAATGAGGCTTTATATAGGAGTATAGGTCAAACATGGGCCGATCCTCATTAAATTTGGGAAAAGGATATATTTTTAAATAATAGTTAATTATGTTGAGTTTCATTGCGATACAAATGGTTACAAGTCAATTTTAGATGTTTAAGATATTTTTTGAAGGGGGTTTGTATGGGGGCTAGGGTCAAATAAGGGCCGATCATAACGAAAATCTGCATCATTTATACTTACATAAAACTTATTTGTGCCAATTTTTAGAGAGATAATAGTATATTTGACGTAATTATGGCATAAAAAGCCCAAATCGGGAGGTACGGTTGTATGGGGGCTAGGTGAAATAATGGACCGATTTCAACCATTTCCAATAGGCTTCGTCCTTGTGCCAAAAAACATGCTTGGTCCAAATTTATCAAATTATCTTGAAAATTGCGGCATGTAACTTGCGCACAAGGTTTACATGGACAGCCATCCAGCCGGACAGATGGACGGACGGACATGTCTTAATCGACTCAAAATGTGATTCGGATGTGTCGATCGGTATACTTAAAGGTGGGTGTAGGACCAATATTTTTGTGTGTTACAAACATCAACACAAACAATAATACCCTTCCCACTATAGTGGTGTAGGGCATAAATATTAAAAGTTGAAGGCTTGTTTAGGAATGAATGGATTGTAGTATTGTTACGTTTTACCTTTTAAAACGTTCGTTTATTTCCTTTTGAAATAAACTGGATTCTTCTTATTGCAAATAAAAGCGTCAATTTGTTAAAAACTACAACAACTCTTTATTTACACAGTTTTATACACAAATACTTTTATAACACAACTTATATAGTAGACTGTAAGGCTGTCTTTTTATCTTTAACACACGAAAGCACACTTGACTTTATTAACTTTACTCAATGACGATTTATTACAGACTGACTCATTTGGTGATTGCCACCGCTATTTATACATGGGCATCACCTTCTTTATATTTCCAGTTTATTCTGGCTCCATCATCTAGATACTTCTACTGATGTAAGTCAATGTTTAGTGGAGACACACACCTCTTCAACGCTTAGTGATGCCACCCAAATGTTAGTCGCTAAGAAATGTCGGGAACTGGCCGTTAAAAACCGTTTAGTTTAAATGCAAATTCAATTTCGTAACACTGTCCCCCGCTTAAGCCTGTTCGTCCCGAATAGGCACAGATTCACCTTTCCCATAGGCAGCTAGTCGTTCTAGGTGTACAACCTTCATTTTGCTTCTCGGGCTCTTATATTTCTGTATTCGGTAGACTACGTCGTTTAATTTCTTAATCACCACATACGGTCCTTCCCAGTGAGTTTGCAGTTTAGGGGATAAACCTTTTTTACGTTGTGGGCTATACAGTAGTACTAGCTGGCCTTCGGTAAATCCTTCAGAATTTACTGCTCGATCGTATCTGGCCTTCATTTTATCACTAGTCATTTTTATTCGTCTCCGCACGAATTCATGAAGTTCATTAAGGTCATCTTGCTCTTGGGAAAAGTTTTCATCATCCTTACTTTTTGATGACGGCTTTATACCAAATTCTAAATCACCAGGCAGCTTGAGTTCTGTTCCGAAAATAATTTTTGCAGGTGTTCGAGAGGTGGAGTCGTGAACGGCTGTTCGGTAGGCCAGCAGAAATTTTGGTATGTGTTCATCCCAGTCCTTCTGATGTGCACTAACCACTTTTCTCAAATATTCCTCCAGTGTGCGATTGAATCTTTCGACCATGCCATCTGATTGAGGATGCAGTGGAGTTGTTCTTGTTTTTCTTATTCCGTATAAATCGCACATTTCTTTGAACACAGCGGATTCAAAGAAACTGCCCTGGTCCGAATGTAACTCCAATGGTACACCATAACGACATATCCAGTTGTTCACAAACACACCTACGACTGTTTTAGCTTCCTGGTTGGGAATGGCATACACCTCTGGCCATTTGCTGAAATAATCCATAACCACTAGAACATAACGGTTTCCGGCATCACTAACAGGGAAAGGGCCTGCTACATCCATTGCAATCCTCTCAAATGGCGCACCTGAGTTGTACTGCTGAAGTCGTCCACGACTTTTTCTTACTGGACCTTTGGCTGCTATGCATTGTGGACAATTTGAAATCCAATCGGCTACCGATTGTTGACAACCGACCCAATAAAACCGTTGTTTTACCTTTTCTATGGTTTTCGTCACACCAAGATGTCCACCACTTGGACCGTCATGGAACTCTTTCAATACTTCATTTATTTTAGAGGCAGGTACCACAATTAGATTTGTCACCGTTTTTCCGTCTGCACTTTCCCATATTCGGTATAGGCAGCCATTTAACACTTGTAGACTATTCCATAGAGCCCAATAGGATTTCATTAATGGACTTTCTGCAGATATTTCATTGCGGGCTGGTCTTTTACCTTCTTCTTTAGCCGATATTATCTTTGCCAGTAAGGGGTCATCCCTTTGCGCTTCAGACCAATCTTCAGTGGAATCTATATGGGTTAGCCGAACATCGATGACGCTTTCTTTTACCTCAGCCTTGCTTTGATATCCGACATCAAGAGGTATTTCAACATTTCGCCAAATCATAACATTTGGTCCCAAATGTAATTTAATGCCATGCATAATCATGAAGTCTGCACCAATGATTACCTCATCTACGATATCGGCAACAATAAATAAATGATCTACGCTTATGTTGGCAATGTTTACTTCGCATTTACTTTACCATAGACAGTGGCAGGCTCTCCAGTGGCGGTGCGTAATCTTACCCCGCATAGTGGTTCAATTGTTTTCTTAACTAAATCTGGTCTAATAATAGACTGCGACGCTCCTGTGTCTATAGTAAAAATGTGCTTTCGACCATTGATGTATCCACCAGCAGTTAGATTACTATTTTTCTGCTGCATTACTGATATGGAGATTGTGGGGCCGTCATATGTGGGAGCTAGCTCTTGCCCCTCAGTGCTAGCTCGTTTTAATTTAAAGGTGATTCTTGTGATGAGTGATGATTTACCTGTTGGTTGTTTCTTGGCGGTGAGACCGATCTGGTACGTTTTCTTTGTGCTTTGCAGTTTCGCTGAATATGTCCGGTTTTTCCACAGTTATAGCATTTGATTTTGGCTTTATTTTGTTTCTCATTTAAAGCCTCTAAAACTGCCTCTTTTATCTCAGTGACTATATTCCTTTCGTTTTCAGCGACAACCTCGACATTTCGTACCTTGAATATTTGTGGCTTTGAAATTATTTTAGCCGTTTCTTGTGCCAGCGCAAATGAGACAGTTTCAGCGAATGATGGCTTTGGTGTGGCACAAACCGCATGTTTTATCTCAGGATCACGTATGCCATTTACAAATGCCTCTATCTTGAAAATATCCAAAAACGGGTGATGTTCTCCTGGATAAGTAAGCTGTATCAATCGCTCGATTTCCAATGCAAAGTCTTGTAGTGTCTCATTGGCCTTCTGCACTCTGCCACGCAATTCCATTCGGTATAATTCCTTTTTATGTTCTCCACCGTACTTGCCGTACTTGTAGTGCTTCCATTATGTCGTCATAATTATTTCTGTTGCTCACTGGTACGCTCTCAAGAACTACTGAAGCACCTCCTTTTAAGGCTAAGATCAATTCTATAGCTTTTTCTTCATTATTCCACATGTTTCTGATGGCAACTGTCTCAAACTGGAACTTGAACACATTAAAAGGTGTGGTGCCATCAAAACTAGGGGCTTTTATTCTACTCGAGGTTTCTGGAATGATTCGTACAGCTCCTTCTTGATATTGCAGATTATTCATCTTTGTTTCTAAGTCTGACACCTTTTTTTCAATGCCATCTACTCTGCTATTAATAACCTCAGACACTTCCAGAATTTTTTCTTCTGTGGCTCTTGAACTTTCCTGAAATTTTGCTTCCATTTCAGCTAAGTGTTTAAAAGTTTCCTTTACTTCAGCTTTAACCTCAGCTCGAAGTTTCTCGTTGTCAGTAAGAAGTTTCTCGTTGTCAGTAAGAAGTTTCTCGTTGTCAGTAAGAAGTTTCTCGTAGTTAGCCTTAGAAGTTTCTTGAACTTCAGCAAATTTCTCCATCATAGCGGCAAACATTGTGTTTAAGTCCATGTTGCTCGTTGTTGAGCGAGTACATATCTCAGTTTCTTCTTTGTACTCGAATTCGTATGTACCTATGTCAATGTCACGCCGCTTGAATTCATCTATTAGCCTCTTTTGCAATTCTGCCTTATTACCGGCTGTCGGTAACTCCATCTTACTCAATTCTCTCTTGAGTTGTTCCACTTTTAGTTCTTCGAACTTCATGACTGCTTTTTATTATGCAATTCCGCTTCTGACACCAATTGTTACGTTTTACCTTTTAAAACGTTCGTTTATTTCCTTTTGAAATAAACTGGATTCTTCTTATTGCAAATAAAAGCGTCAATTTGTTAAAAACTACAACAACTCTTTATTTACACAGTTTTATACACAAATACTTTTATAACACAACTTATATAGGAGACTGTAAGGCTGTCTTTTTATCTTTAACACACGAAAGCACACTTGACTTTATTAACTTTACTCAATGACGATTTATTACAGACTGACTCATTTGGTGATTGCCACCGCTATTTATACATGGGCATCACCTTCTTTATATTTCCAGTTTATTCTGGCTCCATCATCTAGATACTTCTACTGATGTAAGTCAATGTTTAGTGGAGACACACACCTCTTCAACGCTTAGTGATGCCACCCAAATGTTAGTCGCTAAGAAATGTCGGGAACTGGCCGTTAAAAACCGTTTAGTTTAAATGCAAATTCAATTTCGTAACAGTATTTTTCTTACCGTTTCGTGGGCTTTAGAAAGTTTATTTACAGACTTGTGTGAACGGTAGTCCTTTCAGAAATATTTGCTAATTGGAAATGCAAAAACAAGTGTAGAGCTGTATTCCATTTTTCGCAATTTTGAACTATATTTTGAGCGATTTCCTTTTGTTTATTTAACTTTTGATGATTGTTTTCAAATTTTTCTTTAAAAATATTTAAATATTATTAAAAATGTCAAAAAAAACTAACCGAAAATTCAGTGGTGAGCTCCGATAATAATTTTGAATTATCTCTACCGAATTTTTTTTATTGTATTTATTAAATTAAGGATGGCAAAAACCAAATCATAGTTTTAAAATTCGGTTATCTTTGTCAATATTTTATAATAACATTTTAAAAGAATACATTGATTATGTTAACTAAATAAACTTTTGTTAGAATAGTAAATCCATCACTATCATAATTTATTTGTTATAAATATAGAAATTCTACTGTATTGCGAAATTTTTTATAATTGCAACAAAATATTGATTAGGTTAACAAATATAAGATTGTTGTAACTGATTTCGAAGCAATCTGTTTTCTGCGTGTAACTATCGAGAAATTTTCATCAATTTAGTTTTGTTTGTTGTTATACCCTCCACCATCAGGGTATATATAACTTTGTCATTCCGTGTGTAACACCAAGAAATATTCATCTGAGACCCTTATGAAATTCTGAGTCGATTTAGCTATGTCCGTCTGTGTAAAACAAGCTCACGTTAAAACGAAGCAATAGAAATTCATCCAAAACATTCTTTGTTATCCGGTACAGTTTGGTATTTAAAATCAGTAAAATCGGTTTACGACGTAAAAAGTTAAAGTGTAAAATTTTCAGAATACCTCGAAAAAAATAACGTTTTTTCCCAATTCTTAAGTAGTTTTCTCAGAAACTACCAAATATATTTCGATGAATTTTGTCACATTATTTTTTTGTGCCAAGGATCAAGTATGTTCAAACTCATTACAATTGATCTAATATTTCCCATAGCCCCCACACAAAGGTGTATATTCCCGGAAATGAGTTTATAGCTGATAACTCCCTCAAATATATCGGTATCAATACAAATAATATGTACATACAAAATTAATATGAATAGAAATCCTACTACCAACGTAAATCTCAGTCGGTCCACAATTGGTCATAGCTCCCATATAAGGTCCACCTCCGAAAATCATTTAAACGTATATAATGCCCTCTTCCGAAAATCACTTAAACTCACTTAAGTATTTCATTGTCAAATAAAGCTATCTTGATAAAATTCGACACAAATATGTTTTGTGTACATACATATGAATCATTCTACGAAATTTTTCTGGAGAGGCGTAATTGGTCATAGCTCGTATATAAAGTCCACTTCCTATAAAAATCCTTTGGATTAAATGAAAGGATTGGATTTGTGAGAGAAAATGCCATCTGTTACAATTGTTTAGCTATTGGCCATACAATTGAAAATTGTTCAAGCTCATTTACGTGTAGATATTGTAGTCCACATAATACCCTTTTATACAACCAGAATTTAAACCCGAACCCAACATTTGATGAAAACCCTCCAAATGTGCTACAATTTTTCTCCACTCTAACCCGATCAAAAAACTGTTTTAGATGACAGAACGAAGCTATAAGCAACAGCTGTTATACAGATTGAAGCTCAAAGAAGATTATTTCCAGCGCGAGCGCTAATAGACCCAGCTTCTGATTACTCATTTATTTCGGATCAGTTTAGACGTAGATTACGTTTACCCACCCTACCCATATCAGCTGAAATATCAGGTTTAAACGAAGTTGTATCAGCTCGTTCAAAACAGATGTGTAAAGCTACTCTTAGGTTCAATACCCAAAAAGATTTTAGTTTAAAAATCCAATCGATAGTGGTCAAAACGCTAACTCAAAATATACACATCTAAAATATAAACCCAAGTATAATTAATGATTTACAAAATGTAGCGTTAGCTGACCCCATGTTTTACGAAAGTAAACCTATCGATCTTATAATAGGAAGTGATTTTTACCTTCAGATTATAAAATGTGGTATTAAGAATAATGTTCTTAACACACTTTTAGCTCAAGATATCCAATTTGGTTGGATCTTGACTGGACCGATTGAAGAGTCGCACCAAGCTCGAACCCAACCCACAACACAAAGAGTATTATCATATCTCAGCTCAGTTACAATGAATAATTGCTCATCCCGAAAACCCAATAAATTTGTTTATTTCACAAATAAAGCGCAAAATATACCCGATGTGCGTTACAAAGTAAATCTTCCATTTCCTACCCATAATATCGAATTAGAAAATACTACAAATATACATTTAAAAACAAAAATCAAGAATGCAAAGTATATACATAACGCACATCAAAAGCATGTTGATCATGCTCACATTAAACCCTCCCAATTTATAAATTATAGATCTTCAACATCTTGCAATTTTTCACCATTATACTATTGTCAAACCCAATCGCATAATGACAATTGTTCGAATGGATTTTAGAGACTCTTAGAACGACAATAGTTTAATTGATAATTTATACTGATCCTACCCTATAAAACTAAATACCCCAAAAGAGTAATCGAATCGGATGATTAAGTTGTCAAACCCAAAAAGGCCAACAATCAAAACACAACCCAATTATTTCATTAACCCAACCAATTCTTATGATAAATTATTTAACCACCCATTATTACCCCATAACTAACATTCACACTAACCCACTCATACCCATGCAGTAAAAAAGGGAATTGAAATGGATTCGAATAGAAGATACTACTCTAAACCCTAATGTAGCATATGCTGGATTTCCCAAAGGAAAACTTTAAGTATTTTGCTTTACATGTTTCCACAACCACACACATTACCCCGTACTAAAGTCTATTTCATTCCAGGTCTGTCATGGGGGGAGGGGATGTTCACACGGTGAACAAATAGTACCATTTTGCCCAACACTTTACCCTTAGCATCCCATCACTGGTGAATTAAACTGCAGCTAACTTCAACTGCGATTGTTAGAAGAAAAGAGGAGAAGAAGTTAAACAACAACTCAACAAACTTAAACTTAAAACTAAATGTTAATAAATAAGTTAACAATTCTAAAACAAAAAACCATTAAATCTACCTATAATAAAACCTATAATTAATTAATAGTGTTTCAACCTGAAAACCTGTTAAAATAAATAGTTAAAAGACTGTAATTTAAAGAATAATAATTTTGAAGATTCTAACTGTAATGTTTTCCAGAGATACAATTTTTCCGAACGTTAATTAAGATTTTAATGTAATCGATGACAAATTTAAAAAAAAATCTAATATTTTCCCAGACATACGAAACTTTGTATTTAATTCATATAGGGGGTTCCAAGACCCCATTGAAAGTCCGCCCGTTATTCTCTAAATGTTCACATGAATGTCAAAGATCTTCATATAGAATTTGAAGATTCTAGCTCTAATAGTTTCTCAGATATACGAATTTTTCTATTTAATTCATATGGGAACTCACAACCCCCAGATGAAAGTCCGCCTTTTTTTTTTTTTCTTCAAAATGTTCATATGTCTTATAAAGTTCTTCTTGCTAAATTTTAAGAATCTTGTTCTATTAGTTTCCCTGATAAGCGAAATTTTGTATTTAATTCAT